GGTAATGGCGATATTAGATGTCTCCTTATGAGGAAATTCCTTAACCGAGCAGCCTAGAGCCTAGATGTGGCAAAAGACCTAAAGTTTAGAGTGTCCATTGAAGATCGAACTCATTGCTCAATCGTAATAACACCACGTAAAAGTGCCCAATATTATAGCTAAGTTTGATAGGATTATATCGTTTAAAGTATGGCTTAAAATTTTGAATAAGTGACATCTTTCTTTTTATGTGCCATGTCCTTTCAGGGTGTAGGCGATCATGGCTCTCCATCTTCCTCTATCCCTTGCAGCTCCCAACAAGTTCCTTCCCTCTACTTCCTCCCCTAGAGCACATTCTGACATCCTCTTGCTTCAGCCCGTCATGTATATAACGCGTTGTTTTCCCTTGTCTCTCTTTCAGCCCAATTTTAAAGGTGCGTATTATGGATGAAGGCGTATTGTACATGGGGAATTACGGTACTTATTTTGAGGGAATGTTTCTGATAAGACTTTTCCCACATATGACTTGTTTAAAACCATGTTTTTAAATAATAGTACGAAATGCTGGCCATAATGAAATTGGAGAGGTACAATTTAGAGGGTTTGATTACCAAACAAAGGGTGCGCATTATGCATGAGTGGAAGCATTTTCCCACACTTTCAGCTCAATTTTAGGGGTGCGTATTATGGATGAAGACGTATTATACATGGGGAATCACGGTACTTATTTTTGGGAAATGTGTCTGATAGACCTTTCCCACATATGACTTGTTTAAAACCATTTTTTAAAAATAATAGTACAATTTTAGGGGTGCGTATTATGGACGAAGGCGTATTATACATGGGGAATTACGATATATCTATACCTACGATGATTCTGTAGGATCTCTTTTGTAATGCTTATTTTCTTCGCTCTAATTCTGCTGTAAATGTCCAAAATTTGAAGGCGTTCAAGAAGATTGTGAAGGCCGATGATTTGATTTCAGGCATAATAGAAAATAGAATAAAAACGATTAATAAATCAGATATCTAAATAAATAAATGTTTATGGTGATGAAGAAGCGGCTGATGCCTATATGATGAGAATATTAAAAATCAAGTGTAGACTTACACTTCTCCAACACCGATAGACGCTTTTTTTGCTGTTTCTTTGCACGAATTTTGCTGCTTTTTCCGCTTATTTTGCTGATTCCTTTTGTGTGATTTTGCTGCTTTGTTTTGTCTTATTTTGTTTCCTCTGTTCGTGTATTTTGCTGTTACTTTTCGCTTATTTTTACTGCTACTTTGCAGTTGTAATAAAAGACGTCGCCAGTGTTTCAGTAGTTCAACAATCACGGTCATGGAATTTGACATCGGCGAGCCGAGTTCAAATCTTGTCTTAGTCAGTCGTGATAACATTCTCACAAAAAATCTTCCCCACCACACCGCAGCTATGCTTTAAATGGAGTAGTCCGAACCCCTCATTGTATGTGTGGCAGCCATAATAGAAAAACTGTGTGGAAGGCACTTTCTCGTCTAATCTGAGTCTCGATATATGCTGCCGATATGATGATGAGATTAACAATTAAGACCAAGTTTTTACTTACACGTTCTCAAAACTGACAGATGCGGTTTCTTGGGGTGAATGAAAAAGGCGGATAGCATCATTTTATGCGTGAGAGCAGACGTTTTTAGTTCGATTAAAGAACACATATAAATAGTAGCATTTTAAATAATATGAACATAACTTTGTCTGACCTTTTCTTTGATAACAAAAATAAATTAATTCTTGTTAGGATATCATATTATAGAGTCGACCTTTATCAAAAGTCTTCTATACAAAAATAGTGTTGTTATCAAAAAAGAATGCAGGCGGCTATCAGTTGCAACATTTTGATTTATCTTTCTGTTGTGTCTATTTTTGAGGTTGTTCTGAAATTTGTTCCAATTAGTTTTCTCGAAGACGGTTATGGAATGCTGGCTATTTTTTTCTGGTGCCAGGAGCCACATTTTCATCAGCGGGGATCATGTTGCGCCAATTGTAGCGTGATAAACAGGAGCAATGTTGCAGACTACTCCGCCATAACAGCGGGTGCAACCTACACTCTTGCGAACATACTGTTTTCTTGTAATACTATTGTCCACACGATACAAGGCCCAAGAGCCACTCAAGCTAGCTTTAACCAGGTTTATAACCCCCAGAAGTTCACACACAGATGTCCTCAAGAACAATTAGCATAGTGGAAAAGGCTTTAGTTAGATCCAGTACCAGTACCCAAGGAGTGTAAGGTCAATACCTAGTTAAGCCGGTGGAGAACTTGGAGTGGGGAATTAACAGGAGATAACTGATATCCATTAGACATGGCACGTGGAACTAGAACAGTCTACCCCTAGCGAGCGAATTAAAGGGCTCAGCTCGACATTCCAACCACCTGAAGAAGGTCGGGGCGTACAACCGCCGAAACGTTGGGATAAATATGGCTTTTATTCTTAGACGTCTGAATTTAATTACTGATATATATATTGGAAAATGAAGTAGCCTTACATAACTTATCCTTCAGGTCCTTACTTTGAAAGCACCAAATCAACGAATCTATTTTTGTTTCATACACGATTTAAATTCATTTTAAAAGCCCAAAGTACGAAATAACGATTCTAGTCGAAAAATATTTTGTGAAATAAAGATTTTTTTTTCTTTAGCTATAAAAAATAATGTTGGGTGGAGACATCTATGAAACCCCTTAACCTGTCAACACTAGGGTCTTACACGGAGTTTTTTATGTTGGTTTATGGGAAATTTTAACCCTGTTTGATTTTTTGTTTGTTTTTTCTATTTATTTCTTTTTATTATTTATTTACTTTTCCTCTGTTTCTTTTCTTTCTTTTTACTTTTTCTTTTACTTCCTTTCCTTATTCTTTCTTTCTTTTTACTTCTTTTCTTCCTTCCTCTTTACTTAATTCTTTCTTTCTTTTTACGTCTTTTCTTCCTTTCTTTTTACTTTATTCTTTCTTTCTTTTTCTTCTTTTCTTCCTTCTTCTTTTCTTAATTCTTTCTTTTTCTTTTTACGTCTTTTCTTCCTTTCTCTTTACTTTATTCTTTCTTTCTTTCTTTTTTCCTTTTCTTTCTTTTTCTTCTTTTTTCTTTATTCTTTCTTTTTTCTTTTTACTTCTTTTCTTCCCTTCTCTTTACTTTATTCTTTCTTTCTTTTTCTTTTTTACTTCTTTTCTTCCTTTCTCTTTTTACTTAATTCTTTTTTCTTTTTTTTACGTCTTTTCTTCCCTTCTCTTTACTTTTATTCTTTTTCTTTCTTTTTTCCCTTCTTTTCTTCCCTTCTCTTTTCTTTCTCTTTTCTTTCTTTCTTTTTTACGTCTTTTTCCTTTCTCTTTACTTTATTCTTTCTTTCTTTTTACTTCTTTCTTTCCTTCCCTTCTCTTTACTTTATTCTTTCTTTTTTTTACTTTTTTTCTTCCCTTCTCTTTACTTCTTTTCTTCTTTTTCTTTTTTTCTTTTCTTCCTTTCTCTTTACTTTATTCTTTCTTTCTTTTTACTTCTTTTTCCCTTATTCTTTTCTTTTTTTCTTTTCTTCCTTTCTTTCTTTAATTTTTTCTTTTTCTTTCTTTTACGTCTTTTCTTCCTTTTCTCTTTTACTTTTATTCTTTCTTTTTTCTTTTTTCTTCCCTTCTCTTTTCCTTCTTTTTACTTCTTTTCTTCCTTTCTTCTTTCTTTTTACGTCTTTTCTTCCTTTTTTTCTTTTCTTCTTCTCTTTACTTTATTCTTTCTTTCTTTTTTACTTCTTTTCTTCCCTTCTCTTTTACTTTTTTCTTTCTTTCTTTCTTTTTCCTTCTTTTTCTTCCCTTCTCTTTCTTTTATTCTTTCTTTCTTTTTTTCTTTTCTTCCTTTCTTCCTTTCTCTTTTTCTTTTCTTTCTTCTCTTTACTTAATTCTTTCTTTCTTTTTTCTCTTTTCTTCCTTTTCTTTATTCTTTCTTTCTTTTTATTCTTTCTTTCTTAATTTTTTACTTCTTTTCTTCCTTCTCTTTACTTTATTCTTTCTTTCTTTTTCTTCTTTTTTCTTTTTTTACTTTATTCTTTTCTTCTTTTTCTTTCTCTTTACTTAATTCTTTCTTTCTTTTGCTTTTTTCTTCTTTTCTTCCCTTTTTTCCTTTAATTCTTTCTTTCTTTCTTTTTTTACGTCTTTTTCCCTTTCCTTTTTCTTTTTACTTCTTTTCTTCCCTTCTCTTTACTTTATTCTTTCTTTCTTTTTACTTCTTTTCTTCCTTTCTCTTTACTTTATTCTTTCTTTCTTTTTACTTCTTTTCTTCCTTTCTCTTTACTTTATTCTTTCTTTCTTTTTACTTCTTTTCTTCCTTTCTCTTTACTTTATTCTTTCTTTCTTTCTTTTTTTCTCTTTACTTCTTTTTCTTTTCCTTTTCTTCTTTTTTCATCTCTCTTTACTTTATTTTTTCTTTCTTTCTTTTTTTCTTTTTCTTTTCTTCCTTCTTTTTTCTTTCTTTCTTTTTTTTCTTCTTTCTTTTTTCTTCTTTTCTTCCTTTCTTTTATTCTTTCTTTCTTTTTTCTTTCTTTTTCTTTTTCTTCTTTTTTTTCTTTCCTTTCTTTCTTTTTTTTCCTTTCTTTCTTTTTTTTTCTTTTTACTTCTTTTCTTCCCTTCTCTTTACTTAATTCTTTCTTTCTTTTTACGTCTTTTCTTCCTTTCTCTTTACTTTATTCTTTCTTTCTTTTTATTTCTTGTAAAATTTTTATTGGTGAAAAGTATTCAATAATTCTACAGAAGATATAACACAGTACCCGCTGTCATTTTTTTTTTTACAATGATGTCCATCGTGTACAAAGCCCAAGAGCCTCTCGAGGCAGAGGGTTACAGTGTATGAGGCACAGTTTATTTGGATATGTGGAGAAGATGATGGTTAACGCCAGACTTGAACAGGTTAAGATTGTAGTTATCATGGAACACAGGAAAATCTTATTGGGTGAAGATTTTTGGGGTTTTTTTTTTCAGATTTAAATTTTTTTTTACATTCACTT